ATGATGATACTGTGCGTCATACCACTAATTGCTGATGTTAGTCTCCGAGGAGGAGTAGGAGCTCGTTTCCACTTCCACTGGAGTGAAATTATGAGGACTAGCTCTATCTTGACAGGTTTATTAGCGGTAATTGCAATCATTTCAATTAGCAAACCATATATTGCTTTGATCTCATTCCTTGCGTGGATTTTCTTCGCCAATCACCTTATTCACAGTTTGATTCAGAACTTAAACCAACCAATGTTACCCATTACTATCAATACCAATTTTGATAATATAGTATTTGGTATGCTGAAAAATTGGACAACAAACTTGTTCCCTTGGTGTAAATGGTAGATTTAGGAACTCCAGTAATCATATTAGTGTCGTATTAATAAATAGATTCCATGAGTGTGAGGAATCTATTTTATTGTCCCATTAGTGTTGTTGTTGTTTTAATGTGATGTGATATATATTGGATATAATTTTTAATCTATGTAATATATGTGTGTTTTTTTTAAACAGATGATTCTGTTATTTTTTATGATATTTTTGCCTTTTGTCATCATAGGGCAAATCACTATTTGTATTGAACTAGTATTATGTGCCTTTAATTAAGTACAAAAAAAAGTGTGTTTTTAACATAGTGTAACATAATGTAATGTGTTGAGGGACTTAGACATCAAGGGCTATTTAGTTAAAAATCAACTTTAAAAAAAAATTATTGAAAAAGTGATTTAGAAAATACTGTATAAGAAGTTTAAAATATTATGCATAAAGTTGATAAATTTATAATAAAATTATCTTCAGTTGTTAATTTTTTTGTGTTTGTTAATATAGAAAAAATTAATAAGAAAATTGTCAAATTAATCTCACATACTGAAAATTTTTAATTGTACAATTAATAAATTAAGATTAACTTAAAATTTTTCTATATAAATTCATAAAAAAATATGATTAATGCATCCTAAACTGACATGTTAAAAACCTTTAAAAAATTGAATCTATTTAGTGCCTTAAGGCCCTTAACATATAATGTTGTGACGTAAAAGTCACTTTGATGGTTGAATGACTCAATGTTATTTTATTTTATTTATTTATATACAAAAAAGAACAACAAAGACTCAGTTCACTTCCTGCCTCTTTACTTCAGTCCTGGCCTACTTTCCTTCATTTTCAGTGTGTGATTGGTGGGTTTAATTTGGCCCCCTTGCATCTGTTGCCTTCTAGATTACTTGGTTGTTATGTGGTAAAATAAGAATTGGACTCTAATGGGCTTGTAAAATCTGGTCCATATCCAAGCAAATCAAACCATCATTGAGTTCAGTCCTGGGTGGGTTAATTCCAACTAGAAAAGATGAAGTGGGATTGGGCTCAAATAGGCCTTGCAAGAAGGTAACAACTAGTCAACTATGGTTATCATAAATCATTCCTAAGTGAGACTTAAAATTCAAGAAAAATGGATAAGAAGCAATCCCTCATGTGGTCCAATGGTGGTTACATTATTCATTGGGCAGCAGGTGGAATGCATCCAGCTCCAAGGTTCGATCCTCCTACAAAGTAACAAATACTAAAACCTAATTTAACCATTTTCTCCTGTCAAGAAAAAAAGAAAAAAGAAAAATGGATAAGAACAATTAAGTTGAAGGTCTTGAATTTAAATTCAAATATTGCGGTGAGAGAAGAATTGTAGTTGAAAGCAAAAGTATGGTTGGTCAGAGAATATTAGATCCAGCTTCTGTTCAAATAAAATTAATTGCTTAAATTTTAATCCCACTGAAATCATGGAAAACCCTAATCCGGCTCTTTGTAAGAGAGCCACTTAAAATTCAAATTTGCTGAGATACAAAATTTAGTTAAAAATTGTAGTATTTTACTCATCAAAGTGCTACAAATTCTATTCCATCGAGTTCTCCGGCCACTTCTTTAA